TTTTTAAAAAAATTCAACAATGAGAATATACTATGTTATCCACCAGTTTTAAAGCCAATCCTCAACCAAAAAAAAAAAGAAATATATATTTAATTGAATGATGATTATTAATTCCAGGTTCATAATTCGATCAATGAATCTTCTAATGGTTATTCTAATGGTTACAACAACAGACATAGTAATAATCCTAGAGGAGATGAAGAGAATAAAAAATATAAAAGACAACATAATTACCACAATAATCATAACAACCCGGTGATTAGTAACAATTTTCATCATTATTATCAACCGCAATATATTGAATTTAATTTAAGCAGTATAAATATCAATGAATATAAAGAATCGTCAGAAATTGGAATAAATGATTATAAATTAAGATTTCGGTATAAATATCTTGAGGAAGGAATTTCTATTTTTCTAAATGAGAATAAAGGAAAAATTTATATTCCTTTAGAAGCTTTGGAAGCTGTTTCTAAAGTTCATTTAAATCTTATCATTTTAACATTGAAAGAAAATGCAATTGGTTTGGTAAGATTTATTAATAATTGTAATAATATTTATTATATTAATTCTTATTATTACTATAATAATATTTTAATAACATTTTAATAACATTTTTTACAGATCTCATATCGTTCAAGAGAAAACTTTATTAACGATGATCCAATTCGTGAAAATTTGAGTTAAGTTTTGATTTCTCAATATATTTAATTACAATATTATTATTATTATAAATTATTATTATTATAAATTATTATTATTATAAATTATTATTATTATAAATTATTATTATTATAAATTATTATTATTATTAATTATAATTATTATAAATTATTATTATTATTAATTATAATTTATTACATTTTCTAAATTATTCAATTAGATAAAGCAACAACCATTCACATTTATGCTCAAGATTCAACTCCACAACAAGCCATCGATATGACTGGATTACATATTAATTATATTGTGAATAAAAACAAAACAAAGATCGATAATAAAATTCAAGGTCAAACTGGAAATCATATGATTGTAATTAAATTATTTATAATTATTTTAATTATTTTAATCGTTTATTTTATATTTTATTATTTTTATTATTCATTACTCACTACTTTTTCTCTCAATAATCTCTAAAGAATGAAGAATTATTAATTAAATGTCATTTAGCTGATGAGATTCGTATCATATATTTTAACCCCCAAGAACTTTTTGAAGATATCAAGTATACAATTATGAACGCTTTGGGAATTTCAGAACTAAATAAAATTCGTTATAAAGATGATGACGGTGAATATATCTCTATAATCAATAGGGCTGATTTTGAAACTGCAATAAAATTATATAAGAGAGATAACAAGTTGGAAATTTGGTGTATTTAAAATTAGAAATCCTTTTTCAATTAGAAAAAATTAGAAATTCACATTTTTTTGTTTACTTCAAAGAATAATATTTGATATAATAGGTACAATATTAGTTTTTCTTTTTTTTTTGGTTGAGGATTGGCTTTAAAACTGGTGGATAACATAGTATATTCTCATTGTTGAATTTTTTTAAAAA